AAACAAATCGCTTTTTAAATTTGACTTTTACTACATAAAATTGTAAATCAGGGTGTTATTTATGCATAAAAGTATACTTTAAAAAATAAGAGCTATGCATCAAATTTTTATATCTTTAATTTTGACATTATAAACTTTAAATGAAAAACAACGTGTATTTTTTAACAGTACATTTTTTTCTAAATATGCAGAATATTACTAAATAAAAAGCAAAACAAGGATTGTACTCCTATTATATTCATAATATGAAATGAGGATCACATGCTGACATTATCAAATATTTATTTTTGAAACAGAGGTTGAAGAACATGTAAACTTTCACTGCTCAGTGCACAAATGTCATGTTATTAGCATTCTCTAAAAACCACAATATTGAATAACTGTAATAATCTGCAGCTACTGTTGTTAGCTGATTTTAAATATGTGGTATCTCACTCTACATTTGCAACATTTAGTTTAAGCTAATTTTAAGTAGTGCCGTTTAATTGATCATCACTATATCTCATAACCATTTGCCAAGGCTGTGGATAATATGCAGTAAAAACGTTTAGCTTCTTGCCAATCAGACCCATAATGTGACTGTATAAGTTCTTAGTATAATATATGTATATATTTTATTATACTCTAAAAGTGTTGGTTGGTATTGACTTGCATTTTATGAATTACCTAGGACAGTGGTTCTCAAACTGTGGTGCGTGTACCACTAGTGGTACGCAGGCTTCCCACTAGTGGTACGCGGAGGAATGAAATATGTCATGTACATGCTACATATATTTAAAAATGTATCAAAAATTATGTATATATTATGCCATATATGACATATAGCCTATATTTCTGAGGTAATCTGGCACGTTTTTTTAACTGTGCAGAGTTGTAGCTGCTTTACTGGGCCTACTACGCTACTGTATTTCAATACTACAATTTTTTTCCTAAGGTGGTACTTGATGAAAAAAGTTTGAGAACCACTGACCTAGGACATTTTCACCTAAAAAAAATTCTTCAATGTTTAAATATAGAAAAAAATACCACACGTATCTTTGAGTCCTGAGTAAATATGAGGCTCAAAAAGCAACATAAAACTAGTAACATTTCTTTATATATATCAGGGCTCAACAATAAGGACTGCCCAGTGGCCCGGGGCCAGCATGTGAGATGCTCGGGACAATAGACAGGATCATTACAGGCCTGATACAGTCTTAGAATCGAGAAACTGTTTGGGTTTTTAAACCTTCAAATGCTACCTTCTCTGTGATGTCATAAACACCATATTGCTTTTGGTTCCTCTTATCTGATGGCATGATGTTGTGAGCATGTTATTTTTTTCCATAACAACCAGTACAGAAGATGTTTGTTTTTAACTTCATGGAAGCAGACATTGCGAGGGTACACCATGACAAAAAAAAAAAATTTAAATAAATAAAAATGGAAGTGATGTTATGTACAGTTTGCCATCAGTTTGGCAGGTCACCCACTTTTGTTTTGCAATAAAACACCTGCACATTTTCCATACTGCTACTTTTGTTTGCATAACATTTATAATTTTGCTCATTATGTTAATTAACATGTTTAGAATATTTAAATTCTAGTTTTACAAAAAAAAAAAATCTTTTAAATGTGTGGCTAAGAAATGGCTATTAGCTTTTTTTCTTTGGTGGGGCCAGTGAAAATATTGGCAGGGCAAGTAAAAATCTGAACCACTGGTCCGATCGGGCCAGTAGAAAAAATCCTTAGCGTTGAACCCTGTATATTTCTCAAATAAATGTTGAATTTTTGAGTGAAATATTCCTTTAATCCCACATGACATTTTTTCACAGACCTGGCACCATACAATAGCTGAAAAATCATCTCTGTTAAAAATAAAATGTTTTAATAACAACTAAAGGAATGAGAATTGTGCACAAGCTTCGGAATCTTCCACTATAAAATACAGAGGCGGTGACGCTTGTTTGTTTTGTTTATGTTCACCCAACCATACTTGTGCCCTGCAGAGGCACATTACATAATACTGGCATAAACACACACACACATCTCCTATTGAAACAAAAATAAAACAATAATGACTATTTTGCTTTCATTCCCATATACTTTGACATCTGAATAGCAGAGTGTCCAAAGAACATGCCAGAAAGTGAATCTAATAAAGATCATGTGGTCCAAAATGACTGGATGACTAGAAGGTATCTTTTTTGTGTCCTAAATAGCACCTTTAAGAGCACTGTAGCTGCATTAAAGCATCTATCAATGTGTGTGCATTTCTTTTCTGGTCATTTACTGTACCAAATGTAGGTACTCTGAATACCATAGCATAGTACATACATAAACACTTATATTCAGTATAGTGGTATTATAAAATGCAATTTCACCGCTCATATCCATCTCATTATAAGCCATTATAAATCATATCATATTAGACGTCAACAGGTTTGTTATTTTTGTAATACTTGACGGTATTGCGAAGGAGACAAGCTGGAACAGGGAGTGCTGCAATGCGAAAACATGTCCTCCACTGTACTGCCCTCTCTGCTGCACAATTACATTCACTCAGCTTTTAATAATAATACATAGAGATAATAATCTGCTGCCAACAGTAATTACGTGATATAGTAAGATAACTACAGTCATAAACAACAGCTAACGTTAATGACGTAGGGCCGCGAGCTCATATGATCTGACCTGCTAACGTTATTCCGCCCTATCGCTGTTAAAGGAACAAAAGTGAATTGAATGCGGGTAACCGCGAGTCTGGTGTTTAAATCTGTGATCCACCACAAAATCCACGAAAGTTTGCACCCTGAAACTAACTTTACCCACAAACTGGGGTTATGGATGGCTGCGGTAAAACCACAGAAAACATACCTTGGGTGAAAACTGGTGAATTCAGGATGAAACCAAATTTAACGCCTGTCTTCCCCTCTTGGCCGAAAATCAAATGCCCGTATCAGCGAAGCAATTAAAGTAATGACTTAAACTCAATAACTTTTTTTATTATAAGTCGCCTTCTATGTTGAAGATGTCGACTGGCCCACTTCTCCCACTAATAACAACAACAAATGATGCACCGCCTCTTTCTGAGAACTAACCAATGGGAATGAGGAAAATAGACTGACAGAACGTCAAGCAATTTAGGGGAGAGAGAAGGCGGGATTTAAACGTGTTGACAGTGCTTCAATTGGCCAGAGAGTGGTGTCACTCAAGCATTTTGTAGTCAGTGGAACCAATCATAACAAAGGAAAATTAGGCCAATGAACAGAGGTCTACAGTGTAGCTGTAAATACGTGTCTGACGTGTCCTTATCGAGGCAACCAGCATGTGATGGTAGCAACCCAGGACAGAGACAATAAACAGTTTTGGGAAGTAAAAAAGCTAGTCGTTTTAATTAACTAACTTGTAATGAAATTGTAATTTAATACAATTTTGTCTAATGAAGGAACATTATTTTTATTTACAGAATTTATCCCAAGAACAAAATTCCTATTACATTACTGGAATTTACGATACTAACGGGGGCAATGCCTGCTGGTACATCAGCACTTTCTATTTGTCCTCCTAAACCTGAACAGACCTCAGTCATTTAACTGTTTCTCTGGATTTAAGCCTAATAATGACAAAATTAGATCTTTATAATCTTAAAAGAAAATATGTCTATGTTCTATACCATATGTTGTTTTTTACTGGAACAATATCTTTAATAATGTAAACTGGACTCAAGTAACATATGGACATTACCTCAATTTTTAATTCAATTTAATTAATTTTTTTATTACAAATAAGGCAAGAAATATCATTTAAATTACTTCCCAGAGTTTATCCATCAAAAATATTTTTACGAAAATTTTAAATTGATATTGAGTTAGGATGCTGTTTTGGTGAAAGCTTAAATGAAATTTCACATTTATTTTGTTCTTGCCAATATATAATTTAATAATATATATTTATAATATATTTTTGGATTAATGTTGAAGCTTTTATTGCTCAAATTATTTAAAAAATAATTTACCTTATAAACATGTGATATTGGGTTATCATGTTTAGGATCGCTCTTTAAAAGATGCTGGTTTTATTATGAACATTATGTTATTATAATGTAAATTTTACATACATAAATCAAGTTTGCCAAAAGCAAACCTCTCTTAATGGTGCAAAAGAGATTCAAATGTATATAAAAGTGAATTCTAAGTCTAAAAATAAAAAAAGCAATTAAAACAGTTCCTTTAACATTTTGCTATTATAATTTTTTTTAATAATATTTGTATGCATTTGCTGTAGTAAAATTGCATTTAATGACTCTTGTCAATAACTAAAATTAGAAAAATGTGTGTAAAATATTTATGTAATTCGATAATTATGCTCCCTCTCCTAAGGTGATTTTGTTGTATAAACAACTGTACATGCAGGTTCTTGTTAGTAAAAAAAAATTATATCTATAATGTTGTTTTCTTATTATTTAGGACAGTGAACAGAAAATATCAAGCTATTTAATTTAAATGAACCCCAAAATGTAAAATGTCCCCCAAGCTTTGTTAAAATTACTAGTATTTTACAGATACTGAGACATGCAAACTTGGTATGAACAAATGCCCTGGTAGAATAAGTAACAGCATGAGGAGAGCCAAGTGTAGTAAATAATTTTAAAAACTTAGATCATACAGGTCATACCAGGCACAATGAGTAACTATATTCCTTATTCTCTGACTGACAGTATTTTTGAAACATTACACAAACATCCAGGATAAGAGATTACTCTCTTTGACGTTGTATTTCTGCATTTCCTTTTTGCACAGAAAATATACTTAATCCATTTATGACTGTACACATACTGGCCTGTTGCCATTAAGCGTATGTGTGGTTTGCTCTGCTCGTATGCAGAACATTCAGTCCTCCAAAAATGAAAAATAAATAAATCAAGTCCTCCAATGAGAGAACGCGGAAGAACATTTCCGGCGACTGCGTCCTCACCGGCAGCCATTTTGTTTGAGGTGTTGACATTCATCCGTTGAGTTCGGAGAACTAGTTGATATGGGCTTCAGTTTAACTCTGATGTCGACAGGAACGTATTTAATTTAAGACAGTCGGTATACACTATTGTTAAACATTTTTGTAGCAGATTATATAGTAAATATTTTCTATTAAGCGTTAGTACGATTTCTTTTCTCATATTTGCGTAGATTTTTTTCTACGAGCTAACAGTAACTAACTGGTTAGCTCTGGCAAAATGGCGGCGAATGCGGCTCAACAAGCCCCGACACAAAACTGGTAAGGCGTTTTTATATCTCACTAATGACATCTTCACGTTTCTAACGAATTTTGTCTGTTAAACGTCTGTCTCACCAAAAGGTTTCACTGCATATTTTGAGGTACAAATAGGTGTAACAATCGATTGAGATTTTGGCGTTCGCTAGCTTATCCGCTTCTCTTTGCAGATTTAACGTTAACGAATTATTTCGTCGTATCGGCCTGCCATTTTTAATAAGTTGGATATAGGTTGATGTTTTTATTTTAATTTTTTAATTTTGTTTTCTGTTAGAGGTAGTCCATACTAGAACTGGAATCGAGTGGAATTAACGTCTGTCTTGTTGTAAAGGCCTCATTGGTGACCAGCATATTTATCATTGCTAAGTTACACTGTTTCTTATCGTTATGGCTTTTAATCAAAACACTTTTAGCGAAACAAGCCAGACACAGTATGCTTAACAAATCTGAACAAGTTATAGGAAATGCAATGACTCTTAAAATTCACTTGCCAAAATAACGTTACGAATATTACACCGTCTGCAGTCAGTTTTTGTTTGTATATGAACCTTGTTTTGTGTGGGTCACGGTATGCTTGTGTAGATGTATGTAAATGTTTTTAAAAGGTCTGATATGCCGTGAACTAAAATCCATATTACGTTTACCTTATCTTGTTTTGATCTGCAGGCCGTATGGTAATAATTCAAGTGGTGAAGGCCCAGTCCACGAGAACCCAGAATGGGAAAAGGCCCGACAGGCTCTAGCATCCATCAGTAAAAGTCAAAACTCTACCAAACCTTCAACTAATCAAACCACACAACAGGTTAGTGTTTCATGAGAATAGAGGTGGACATTTTTATCAGTTTTAAACCCATGCTTTATTGCGTGGTAAAATGGTTGATTTTTGATTTTTCTTATTTTCCTGTTAGGCTGGACAGTATCAGGCAGCAGTTACAGACTCCTCTGCAATGCAGCAGCAGCAGTATTATCAGCAGTGGTATCAACAGAACCAACAGCAGTATGCTGGTTACCCTTATCCTTATAACTACTACTACCCCATGCCTCCGGTAAATAAATGCACTCCTACATTTTTGAACATGTATCTGTAAACAGTCCTTATCCATTTCCCTTTAAATCTTAACCGAAAGGTTAGCTGCAGAGAGTAAGCAGTTTTTTTTTTTTTTTTTTTTTTTTTTTTTTTTTTAAGCGTTTGTGTTGGATTGGAGCTTTTATACCACACACTGAAGCAGCATTGCTGCAATTATTTTGGTCCTTGGTCTATTTTTAACACGCTGATTACGTTCAGTTAAAGTGATAATGCATTAGTTATGACCAAAAACAAATAGAAAAAATTGACAGCCGAAAAAGTAGAAGTTTTACCCAAAAAATGCATGGACAATTTCCACTGGTTTTTATATTGTCAATCAAATGAACTGAAACGATTTAAAAATGCAACAAGTATTTGTTTGGGTCTGAACTACAAAACTACATTTAAAACAAAATTTAGTGTCAGTTTTGCTTAAGTTGCAAACTAGTTTGATTGTGTATAATTATACATTATAACTATATTTGTATAAAAAATACTACAACTGTACATCATGCTGACAATAAAAACAAAATCACATGAATTCACAGGCAGTTGTCTTCTGAGTGCACCCAAAAAGACATGAATGACCCTCTTCATGGAGCTTGAGAAGCATAAAGTTCTTTATGATCTACATATATAGTAAAAAAAGACTTGCAGGTTAAAGAAGCAGCATAGGAGGAAGGTATCATGGCTCTTGTTGCAGATTATTTTAGATAGATAGATTGATTGATTGATTGATAGATAGATAGATTGATCTGTGCAATAGCTGCTGCATAGGTTGCACACTGCTGGTGTAAAAAGCAAATGCCTGCCTGCTGCTTCCTGGTCTCCCTACACATTGTGCACACACTGCTTTTGCTCTGGTTGCACATGCAGTGTGAAGAAGGCGTTACCTGAAACGAGGCTAAATGTGTCAGAGTGGTTGAGCTGAAGTGCATCATGACAGCCATAAAGCAGAGAAACAGCTTCATTCTGTGATTTCTCTGTGGCATCTCTCTGGGCTGAAGTGAACCGTACCTTTGCATTTGCAGTGGTTTACTTGCTGTTAACACAAAAATCACTACAAAAAATATTTATTAGTTTTTTTATTTTTTATCATCCCTCATAGTATGGTGGTCCATATCCTCCAGGACAGTATGGTGTACCCGGGGGCTACCAGACACCCACTACCCCTACTGGACAGGTATAGACTTTTTTTGTGGGTTTCTGTTGGCCAAATGTATATCACATAGGTGTGTAAGCGTAAAGTAATGCTCTATTTTTCTCTCTATTTCAGGCCCCCTCCATGCCTACAATGGAGGATCAGTCCTCAAATTATCCCCCCCAACCTCCTCCTCCTGCAACCCCTCAACCCCCCCCTCAAAGTCCTACGTCCAGTGACCAGCCCCCACCCCCTCCTCCACCCCCCATACCTCCCCAACCCAATGCCCAGTACCCCCGTCCACCATCCCAAACCCCCTACAGCCCTAATGGTGTCCTGCCATACAGCCCTACAGATTCAAACCCTATGATGCGGGGATACAATCCAGGGCAGATCCGGCCAGGGTACCAGGGTTACCAGACTCCAGTATATCAGCCCCATCAGCAGCAGGCTCCAGCACCAGGCCTGTACGGAGGCGCAGGCAGGGTGGATGCTAAAAAACCTAACAATAGCAATATGAATAAAGGTGGCCAGCAGCTGTGGCAGCGCATGAAACGTATGCATATGTGTCCTCGTAATATGTGAATTATGTAGCGTGTAATTTAAGTATCTCCTAATGCTTTCTTTTCTTTTCAACAGAGGCACCAGGAACGGGCGCTGTTAAATTTAATATACCCAAACGCCCTTACGTCATGTCCAACCAAAACTTCCCGCCAGGTGAGCAGGGCCCTGGATTGGCTCCCCCCACTGCAACCAACCCATCATCTGGCTCTACTAGTGCAACATCCAGTGCTTCAACGGGAGGTGCCCAAACACGGTAAATGTAGTGGTAGTGTTTAAAATTAAGAGGCTGGTTGAAATATGCTTGTCTTGGAAGTAAATGATTGCATATACCTAGACTGAACGGGACAAAACTGTGTTTTTTTAAAATAGGCCTCAAGATTGGCCACAGGCCATGAAAGAGTATGTACAACGCTGCTTTACAGCCTGTGAATCTGAAGAGGATAAAGATCGTACTGAAAAGATGCTGAAAGATCTTCTGCAGTCCAGATTACAGGACGGCTCTGCTTACACTATTGACTGGAACAGAGAACCACTGCCAGAGTGAGTTGCATCAAAATTTTTTGGAACTATTAATTCATTTCAGCTTTCTTTTCTATGAGTGGCTCATTCAAATTGAGCTTTCGAGCTACTTAACTACTGCCACTAAACAAGTGTTCTCTTTAATAGTCTAAAGCCAAAACCATCTCGCTGGGAGGTGATGCCTCAACTTTCTCAGGAAAATAGTATTGGAAGGGGTGGAGCCACACGTGGCAGGGGCGGAGCCAGGCTGGGTAACTATAGAAATGTCTTTTCTCAAAGAAGTCCCTCTTCCAGCTCCTCTGGGTCATCCCGCTCCTCTTCACGATCGCCTTCCCCTCACAGCCGACACAGGGACAGGAGTAGACATCACCGCAGGTAATGTGCTGGCTTGCAAGCTTGGTTAATCTAATAAAGCAGATCAAGTCACTTAAAGTTGATTGAAATTGGAAGATCGACAGGATTTGACGAGTGGTTATTTTTCCTCCTCCAGTGACTCTGGCTCACAGTCAGACGGCAGCATGTCGAGTGATCTTCGACTCTCATTGACCCGCAGGCAGCAAAAGGGTGGCAGAGGCCGCGGGGCAGAAAGAGAGAGAGGCAGAGGAGCTGCTGGGGAGAGAGGCAGAGGAAGAGGCAAAGCAAACAGAGGGCGGAGGTAAGCTATCAGTGCTAGTACACTAGATTTAAATGCCTTGCACCAAGTCAAAGGTGTCAAACTCAGTTCTTGGAGGGCCAAAGCTCTGCACAGGTAAGCTTTAACTATAAACAGACCGAATCAAACTAAGTAAGTCCTTCAGGCTTGGTTTAAACCTCCAGATAAGTGTATTGAAGCAGGGTTGTGGATCTCCTGGAACTGAGTTTGACACCGCTGCACTAGGCAATTATTTTATCAATTTTGGCAGTTTGTTAGAGGTCTCATTACTTTCTCCTATGACTTCTTTCAGGAATATGGAAGACCTAGCCAGTGGCGTTGGTAAAAAACGTAAAGGCGGTAATGCAGGCCTTGACTTTCACGACCCAAATCGTGAAGCAAAGAAACAGAGCCGTGCAGCACGCTTCCACACTAAACTACGCACTGAGCCCCTGGTGTTAAACATCAATGTTTTTGACCTCCCCAACGGTACCCAAGAGGGATTAAGTTGGGATGACTGCCCCATAGTTGGCACCTGCCAGGACATCACAAAAAACTACCTCCGTCTCACCTGTGCCCCAGATCCTTCAACCGTCAGGCCTGTACCTGTGAGTGTTTCTCAGAATGTTGCTTGTCTTTTGAGTGAATGATTTGTGTTATTTGTGGTCCGTGGTTGTCTGTTTCATACAAAAATTGCTTTAAAAATTGTGTTTTAGGTGTTGCGAAAATCCTTGATTGCAGTAAAGGCTCATTGGAAAAGCAATCAGGACTACGTCTACGCATGTGAACAAATGAAATCCATAAGACAGGATCTAACTGTGAGTGATGACTTTTAGTACCATTTACCTGTCTTGCCTTTTTTAGTGTCTTATTTTGAAATGTCTTAATCAGGTGCAAGGTGTACGTACAGACTTTACAGTGGAGGTGTATGAGACGCATGCTCGCATTGCTCTGGAAAAGGTATGAAGGGAAATGTCTTTGTTGAATTAAGTCACAGTATTTTACTATTAATGTATTGGTATTAGACAACAAACCTCACTTTTCTGTTGTTTTTAGGGCGACCATGAGGAGTTCAACCAGTGTCAAACACAGCTGAAGGCGCTGTATAAAGACTGTCCATCAGACAACGTTGGAGAATTCACTGCCTACAGACTTATCTACTACATCTTTACTAAGAACTCTGGAGGTATAGCTATAAATTGCTTTTGCTTAATCAGCAGTTTAATATTTATTTTTATTATTTTGCGGTTCTTATGTATTCTCGTATGAAGCCTTTAATAATCTTGTTTTTTTATTTTTAATAGACCTGACTACTGAGCTTGTGTATCTTACCACTGAGCTCCGTGCTGATCCTTGTGTAGCTCATGCTCTTGAGCTCCGTACGGCCTGGGCGCTGGGCAACTTCCACCGATTTTTCCGACTATATCAGAAAGCTCCACGCATGGCTGCTTACCTTATCGACAAGTTTGTGGAGCGTGAAAGAAATATAGCTCTGAGGGCCATTCTTAAATCGTGAGTAGAGATGCCAGCGTGAAGAATGACTGGGAATTATACCATTATTAATTTCACATCTAACTTCATTGCCTTTTTTTTCCCTCTTCTTTCCCCTCTCTATGCAGGTTCAGGCCCTCTGTGTCGGTGGAGTATGTTCAGTCCAGCTTGGCCTTCCCAGATTTAGACACATGTTTAGCATTTCTAACAGGGCTAGGAATATCATTCACCCCCTCTGACCCAAGCAAAATAGACTGTAAAGTTAGTTCAGCTAGTCTTACAACCTCATAGTAGTGGGGAAGGGTTGGGGAGACCACCGAATGTACATTTATAGAGCTTATATAGACAGATTGTAGAAAAGCCACCAGATATCTACACAGTAAACAAGCACTCAGATTCTAGAGCTGATCATATTTATAAAGATATCTCAGATCTATTTAACTCTTGTAGAGTGATGGACCTTCTGACAGATGGACAGTCGATACATCCACACACAGGGACTTAGTGGCCATTTGAAGACTTAGAATAACCAATTCACAAAACCCATTTAGTCAAGCATCAGGCAACCAAGTACTTGAAGAATTTCCCCCACACCAAAAGATAAACGGGGCAAAGATTAGCTGGGGTCAGGTCACCAGGACACATCATAGATGGAGCTCATAAAGCATTTTCAAGCTAACAGTGTTGTGTGTTCTCATGTTTCTCTCCTCTTAAGCAAACGGCCTCAAAGCTCAAGACGTGAAAGCTTCGTGGTTAATGCTGGAAATAGTCTGAGCCAACTGCTTTACCAGCTCACGGCAGTGCAAAGACAAAGAATCCTTCTGCAAGATCTGTAATGGACTTTAAAGCAAATAGAGCTTTGGTGCAATCCTTCAAGCAAGAAGAGGATGGTTTGTATGCTCCGTTTTCTTTGCCAAGATGTCTTCAGTAAGTCAGTAGAGAGGCTTCGTTAGATCTTCCGTCTCCCCTCATCTTCAACATCCTAATGCTGATAGCAAATAATATTTGGACTGAGTTCTAACAAGATCACCTTCAGAGATGCAAGTTAGGCCCTATTCCACACTATCACCACTTACACCCCTTTCCCACAGTCTACTGCCCCTTTCTCTCCTACACATGGCGTGTCATCACTCAAGAAGCTGGCCTTCATAAGTCACATCCTACTAATCACTCCTCAACACACAGGAAGCACAAGTCAGAGACTCAGTTTTTCCACTTCCCACCACAGCTGTGAGCTGAATTGGGCCAACAATGTCCATGCTCATCCAGGTCCACCTAGTGCAGTTAATTCATCATTAAGTTTGACCATCGTCGACTGAAGAGAGAAGTCCCCTCAAGCATTACCCATACAAGGTCCCTACGCCCTACTTAACCTCATTCAGGAGGAAAAGCAAGATCTGTTTCCCCTAATGGCAAGATGGAGTGTGTCTTCCTCCGTTCTCTCAGGCAATCATCTCATTTCTGCAATGGATACCTTTGATCTGCTGGGGTTTGGAAACACATGGGTTTGTATGGCACCTTAAGCTTCGGCCACATCTACTGGTAATGGCTGGTAAGGAGGACTTGATGTTTTGAAATCGTGGTGGATCTTCGTTCTGCTTGAGTTGAGGTGTTACCATGATCATGCTTGGCTTGTGAGGCTTTATTCAACCCTGCTGGCAGGTTTTGAGTATCATCTCATTTTACAAATGAGCCTAATACAGAACCTTGTTGCACCCCTTTTTGATTTTTTTTCTTTTGTTGATTTGGTATCGAACAATCTATAAAAAAAACTGATTAGATTTGCTCAATATACATGTTGCGATGCAGTATTACATCTCAGAGATTCATATGGCATCATGGCCGTTTAGCTGACAGAGGCATGAAAATTTAAGTTGTTACAAAGTTCTTCTAGTCCTTGATTCCTAATGGTCTTGCAACCTAATTATCACTTTCATTAAAAAGGAACAAGCTTTTTAATATTTTTGCATCTGAAAAAATCACATTTATTTAATGATTTGTTCATCCAGCATAGATCTGAAATAAGTCTGCTTCTGCAAGCTTTGCTCAGGGTCACTAAGAGGATCCCATATGTGAAACATGTACATATGTAGTCATGTAAAAAAAAACGTGTAAAGTGAGATTTATGTTTTCCATTTTACTACTTTAGTTTCATTTTTTGTACAATGGTAAGTGTCGTTTTGATCTATACAGTACATTTACTGGCAGTTTTTAAACTTTATTTTTTGAGTGGTGAGCATGTGCGCACAGATGAGTGGATTACTGCAAATAAGTGGCATTTTCACATGTGATTACAAATTCTCTCTTTAGACACTCGATGGGTGATGTTAGAAAGTAAAACTCAAACTCATGAATTGACAAAGTAATTGCAAGTCTTTCCTGATTTGTTGTTAAGAATACTCAACCATTTATTTTGTTTTTTATTATTAAAGGCAAATAAATCGTCACCTACAAGCTTATCCAACAGTAAGAGTTCCAATTTGGTTTAATCGCTATTTTAACATGCTTTTTTCCCATAGAGTTTTGTTTCATAATCTGATGAACGCTTCATTTTGAAAGTAGGAAATCTATGGGTTCATGTTTTCCTATTTTAATGTTGATTTTGATTATATTAGAGCTTGATTCTGTTCACATGCTTGTATATGATTGTACATTGTAAATGATTCACTGATGCTGTTATTTGCCACATTGACGTTGCTCTCCTCTTCTTCTCAACCTTTACCCCTTCCCACCTCTCATCCTCCTCTGCTCCTGCACTCCTTCATTACCAGATTCTCTCTATCTGTCTTCCTCCTTGCAGTCATACACATGGAGCAAAGCAAGAGATGAAAACATGAGGGCAAAACTAATCCAGAGGCACTGGAAAAATGAGACATCCAGACAGCGGCCTGCTCGGTCATCTTTGTGCTTCTTGTCTGATGCCTTTGTTATTTTGAGGAGAGCTTGATTTCAAATGTGCAATGTTATTTCTGCCAATTCTCAAAACCGTGACGAAAGTGAAGATGTGTGAATTGTGTGTTAGGAATGGCTTTATCTAGTGTGTAGTGGAATTGCTTCTGTATGTTCAGGTATGTCCTTTATTTTTTTTTCAGACTTTTTTGTTTAACAGGTTTTTTTCTTTACTGTTAGATGTATTTGACTGCTTTTTTTTTTGTTTGTTTGTTTATTGATTTTTTTTAAATTAATTTTTTTAATGCTGCTTTATTTTTTGTATGACCCGATTTCTAATGTTTCCTTTTGGTTGTTTGGTGGACATACCTGGTCATACAGATATTTACTGACTTTTCATGTTAACTAAATGTCGAAATAAGTTGGCGAAAGTGTTGAATTTGACTGCAGTTTCTAATGGTAATGTTTTGGCTGCCCGTGATGCTCATCAAATGTTAATCATCTCAAGTAATACCACTGGTTTTTGTTTATTTTTCATGAACTGTATTTTTTTAGCTTTTACCGTTGGTGTATAATATCTTCACAGCAGTATTACTAACAGATTTCACCCCTCTCCTCAAATGTTGCCTGTCCTCTTGCATATCCTACTTTTCTCTGCTCTTATTTCTTTTTTTGCTCATTATTTGTTGCATTTAGATTAGCCTCTGTAAGTGTTCTCTCTGACATTTGTTTTTTTTTTTTTTTTTTAGCCATTGACTGCTTTTCCTCATGTTTTTTTTTCTTTTCTCTCTATCTCTCTGTCTTCTGTTCTTCCTGCATGTTGTTCTTCTGTCTCCCTGCTCTTTCCTCTGTATTGTGTTGTATTGCAATATTGCGATTGATTTCTGTGTGCTCAGTGCTTGGCAGTAAGTATCTCCAACAGGACCGTGCTTGCAACTGTTTTTCTTTTTACAGCTCCGCCTCTCAAAGCCCTAATGTCTCTGAGCTCATTTATACTGAAAATACTGCCCTTTGTAGATACTGAACTGTACATACTGTACCTACTTTCTTATATTGGGAAAAAATAAAGAATTAAATCAGATTTGTTGATTGTCATTTAACCGCAGAAAGCATTTGTTGACTTTGCACGACAGTTCTCATGTATGGTTTTATTGGTTCAATTTTAAATGATTTTTGTAGTTAAATGCTGGATCACAAATAATACAGATGTTGTATTATTAAAAATAGTATAAGTAATACAACAATACAACAAGCGTTTATGAATAGTTTGGGCTAGCTTTTCCACCTGGACATTGCTTTTCAATGCTCTTGATGAGTGAACATTAGCCAGAAAGGGAGTGTCTTTTTGTCCCTCAAGGTGTGATTTATTCATGGACATTGTTACTCCCTCAAAAGTCTGATTCAGTCCCATTCAGTGTGGTTATTTGTGTGTGTATGTATATATATATATATATATATATATATATATGTGTGTGTGTGTGTGTATATATATATGTATGTATATATATGTATATATATATATATGTGTGTGTGTGTATATATGTATATATAAATATATGTGTGTGTGTGTGTGTATATATATATACACACACACACAAGTATATAAATTTGTGTGTGTATGTATATATATATATATATATATATATATATATATATATATATATATAGATAAGTATATAAATTTGTATGTGTGTATATATATGTATGTTTATGAAAATTACCATCAGGCCCGGATTGGCTAATCGGGAGGACCGGGAGAATTCCCGGTGGGCCGGTCCGTTTTTTGGCCGCGAGGGCCGGTGTCCCTAGCTGCAGAATCTGTTGCTCTCAGCAGTCACACTTTTTAAATTAATTTATTTACTTGACCACAGCCTTTTTATTCATTATTTTACTGCAACTCTTCTCTTTACATCTATTTTAATGATTATAAAACTCAGTTTTGTCTCCTTTCTGAACACAGCTATTGTGGTCCATCGGTTAGCGCGGGTTCGATCCTCGTTACAATAACTTAATGTTTTCATTTTTATTGTTAAGACATATAATACTGTTAGGGTTGTTGAACATTTGAAGTTCTAAAGCAGCTGTTTTCTCAAAAAAAGACGTGATAGTGTCATTAGAAACTGATTTGGAAATGACCTTATTTTAATATAGTCAGTCGTGAACTGAGGTGGGCCGGTCTGAGGCTTGAAACTCCAGGGCTGAAAAGGAGTCCCACTCCGGCCCTGATTACCATCAACTGAGTTCAAAACACTTTTCAAATGAGTAAAATTAACTTTCAGTCAATTTTGAGTTCACTACACTCATTTCATTTAATAAAGTTGACTGTTGGGTTTTACGGTGCTTATTTGATTTAACGAGCATCAAAACATACCATACCATTATGTTTTTTTCCAGCAAAAGATTAAATGCATTTAAGTCATTGATCTTGAGATCACATTAGTGCACTCATATAAATAAATTTCCTGTAGTTTGTAATTTTTTATTTGTATTTTGTTATTGCATTAATGTAGATCAGTCACCGTTTTAAAGACTTCCTTTCATGAACTTTTTATGTGTGTAGTATGGAACAACACATTGTCTGGCATTACTCCAGAATTACAGTACAAAAACAAGTAATGCCAGTACTTTGTTAATGTACGCATGTATTTATTTGTTTATTCTATTATCTATGTGTATTTCCAATACATATTTTCGAACTTCTAAAAATGTCATTGAGATTTACTTAGACTGTTAGACATCAATATTAAATCTTCAAAAGCAAATGTTGACAATACGTCCCATAACGCAATTCAGATAAATTGAGAAGACAATAAAATAGGTCTACACTTCTGATCTCACGTTTATTAGATATTTTCTTATGCTTTATACCAAATAATGTTGGTTATGACATTGAGCACCTTCAGAACAGGCCACTCGGAGAAACTTGTTTTTAGGGACACTAAAAACATCAGGACAACCACATTCATGGAAAGTAGTTTGATTTGAATCAAAAAGACACTGAGGCTGATTGACTTCATCCCAAGTTTTTGACACTGAACACAAGAATGTTGGTAAACATTGTTCAAGTAAAAGGCGAGGACCCTAAAGCCCGACGATGCTTCTCAGTTAACACGCATTTCAGTGGAATACCGTTGAGTGCTTAACATGTGTCGATCTGTCCCTTTACAATAACAATACAGTAGGAAAAACTCTGAAAATTAAACAACACTAACACGTTAACACTTTCTAGAGAAGAGCAGGGCTTATGAGCAGACGTTTCTTTTAGGGTTTAGGTAGATGACGGCTTATGTCTTTATGCTTTTGCGTTAATAATGTCGATAAACTCTGGTTTTAGGGAAGCTCCGCCAACAAGGAATCCGTCCAGGTCTTTCTGAGAAGCCAGTTCCTTGCAGGTTCCTCCAGTGACCGAACCTGAAGAACAAACCGGAAGAAAGATTAGGGCGAATTAAGGCCTTGCGAAAGCTTTCTTGACTTCAATTAAAAATATCAGCCCAACAAATTACAAAGTTCTGTTAAATTGGAGGCAAGTAACATAAAATAGCTTTATTCGCTGACGTGGTGTTATTCCTAAAACAATTCAACGCCTCTCTTCCAGTCATCGTTGTTGCTTAAAGATAGTGGTCCAAATACATCACATTTATTAACCTTGAAAATATCCCCCAGCTTTACATATTTGGGTATCAAAATTGTCCCACAATTAGAAAATATAATTTCTACAAATGATAATGTTATAATAGAATCAACATCTAAAGATGTGGAGAGATGGTTATCTTTACCAATTTCATTGATAGGAAGGATAAATATATCGAAGATAAATATTTTGCCGAAATTCATGTATTTATTTCAAAATATCCCCTTGGCGCCACCAGTTGGAGTGTTCTCAAAGATTAATTCAATATTCAGGAAATTTATTTGGAACAAGAAATGCCCGAGTCCGTCTTTCTCTTCATTATCTTTCATTTAATCCTGGAGGGTTAAAATGTCCCAACCTGTTCTGGTACTATTTAGCTGCACAACATCCACAAATCTGATCATTTATTACTTATGAAATCCGGATTTCTTGTTGCTTGGAAATGTCATTAAATCTTACTAAATGTCAAGCAAATTTCTCCCTGAGAGTCTTAAAGTAAGCAGCTCCACCAGCTGTTTACAGTAAGAAAATATACTGGCGTCACATTGAAATGCATTTTGACTGCATTGCACCACCCATTTAGATCCCTCATTTACATACCCATAATGCCTTTCACCTTAAACTCTGATTTTCAGTCACCACCAGTGAGATACCACTCAGAAAGATCAAGCTGTTGACGGACCCACTCAGCATTGGAAAATATCTCTTTTACTATTTGTCCAGTAGGTTTCCTTTAAAAGGAAGCCCATTCTTAATGTGTAAAGGAAAAGAAAATCAAACTTTGACATCTAGCAGTTTATTACTATGTTGTGATACATTTTATAATAAATTAAATCAGGTATATTTACTTTCATATCAGCTTAATACCTTTAATAGTATAGGGTTGTCACAGTGGAATAAACTGCCAACTAATCCAGCATGTTTTTATGCACCAGATGCCCTTCCTGCAATCCATAACTGGGAAACATCCATCCTACGACACACACTCATACACTACGGACAATTTAGCCTACCTAATTCACCTATACCGCATGTCTTTGCACTGTGGGGGAAACTGGATCACCCAGAGAAAACCCACGCGAACGCAGGGAGAACATGCACACTATACACAGAAATGCCAAGGCTCGAACCAGCGACCTTCTTGCTGTGAGGCGAAAGCACTACCTACTGCGCCGCTGCGTTGCCCATTACATTATATACACACATTTCATTATTAAAGTTATTTTCTACGTAAGAACTTTGCGTAAATATCTAATGACATTAAATTTTGAGTTAGTTTTGACATGGTTGGGCACATACGCATCACATTTTCATTGTAGATTTTGAAATACCTTTAGATTTTCTTTATATGACTATTTGTATTTGAGTATATTTGACCCAGGTTACAGCACACAACTCGATCATAAATCTGGCCTGCTTGTAGTTAGGGTTGTTGCGATACCAATAATTCATCTTATGATTTTATACCAGCTGAAGTATCACGATAGCAAGTAGTATTGCGATACTGTAATTCATAACATATTTTTAATATAGTAAAAATACTATATTTTACATGTTATAATAGGTCTTGCATTAAATTCATGATATCCTTATTATTGAAAATATTATTTGCACGTCACTTCACCTAAAATGTATTCATTCTTTTTGTTTATTTTGTAGATAACTGACCAACAACAACAAAAAAAAAAACACATTAAAATAAAGATACAAATTATATCAAATGAAATGTTTTACAAAAAGAGCATTTTTCCAACCAAATTAGTTTATATGAAGTGGTCAAAAATAGCTTCACTTGCTATTTTGGGTTTTTCATCTATTGATTTTTTTTAGTCTTAACAGTTAAAAAACTAAAGTAATTCAAAATTGTCCTTTGTGAGTCGTTCTTTTTAAGAGATTGTCACAATTGTTGTAGCTACTTAATCATATTGAGAGGAATAGAAATGAACCGATTCAAATGTGCGTTTAAAATGTCAAAAATCTTTCAACCTTAAAAGGCTCTACAGACTATAAAATTGAAATAGTCTATTGTTGCACAAACGTGTGAGCGTTTTACTGACTTTTCCCACAGGCAACAGTATCTATTGTAGATAGACCGTTAATGACGATACTACCGTTCACAAAGTACAGTGCACCACTAGTATTTTGGAGCCATAGTATCTCGATAGAACCAGTATACCAGGCATCCCTACTTGTGGTACGCTGTGGAAACCTCTCATGTGAAAATTAATTGTTAACAATTGCTTGGTACTTGGGAAAAAATATGATAAATGAGCCGTTTCCCTTTTAACTTCAGTTAAGAGCAGTTTTGGTGTTTTGTAAGGGTGCTTTGACAAGAGTTTGTAGGGGTCTTTTGGTTTGGTACACATTTGGAATAAAAAAAGTAATAAATTCAGTTTTGATAAGAGCAAGAATTAAGAAATTTTGCAACACAAGAGTTCGCTGTTTTCAGA